TTTTTTTTTTTTTTGGTTTTTTATTTTTTTACTGGCAGTGAGATCATAACTTTGAAAGAAAAGTCACCAAAGAAAATGTGTAATACTGAATATTTAGTTTGTTTACAAGGTATTTTGAATTTTGAAACCTGTTTTATTGACCTGTTCGTAATAAATTACTTTTTTTGGACTTTAAACATTTATCTCAGCACTGCAAGTTATTGATAACGAGATATATTATCAGCCTGGGCCTGGAGCTTGTTGTAACAGTAAATGAGATGTGTTGTAACTTGTGTAAGTTAAACTGTGTCTGTGTGAGTGTACATTTTACCCCGCGATCATGGACGTCGGAACTATTTTCTGAGTTCTGAGGGGGCGGAATTTTTGTTGGGAGGGGCGGGGGAAGCACGCACCCTTATCAGTGATTAAGGATTTGATTTGAAGTTATTTTATAATAACATGCAGTTATAAGAGAACTAGAATGTTTTGTTAAGAAAATGAAACTTTGATAACTAAATCAAGCCATTTAAGGAACAATATAACCCTGTCTGAAGGGAAGAACGAACCGCATGATGGGGTCAAACGGATCATGTGCATAATTAACCACAAAACAAGCAAATACTTCATCTTAATGACATGTAACACTCATTATGCTTCAGCTGAATCCTCTAAGCAAATGACCATGTTGAACTGAAATTAGTTTATCACATTAAATGTCCTAAATTGTATGAAATTGCTCCAATGCGTTAAACCAAACTTTGTGCATAATCACACAGCCTGATATGCCCTGGCAAACACAGTGGGACTATTTTCTGAAAGCCCCGGTCTGCTGTCAGCAGCAGCGGCAGCTGCAGCGGGGATTTCAGCACCACGGACAGTGCGCGTAAAAAGCGCAGCAGGTCCAGGGCCTCTGTATGTAGTCAGGCAGGCTGCATATCACATCAAAAGCATAGATCTATGCATTCATGATATGAAAGAGATAAATGTAAGTCAGACAAATTGAGTTTAAATTCAGATTCTTTATTTTTTTTTAAGCTTTCTTAGGCTGATGGGGTGCGGGGGGCACGGATGGGAGAGGGTGCGGCCGCACCCCCTGTACCCCTAGTTCCGACGTTTATGCCCGCAATGCGTGATGTGGGCAGTCAGGTCCAGCCACAGCTGCTACTGCTGCCAAGTACTAACGGCTGCTAGCCCCGCCCATTGGAAAGAGTGTGGGATATACCACTACTAGGAATGGGAGGGGAGGACTAAATCTTTTAAGATTTAAGGATGTCTGAAAAGCTGTTTCCATAAACAGTCAAATTCGCAAAAGGGCAAAATGCGAAAAAAATGTTTATGAAAACACAACTATTGATTAAAAGCATACAGATGGAGGTTTGCAGCATTTAGGATCCAATTCAATAATAGGCTATATATTCACAATTAGGCTGTTGTAGCCTATATATTATCTTAGTTAAATATTTTTAAACCACAGCCAGACGTTGAGGGTGGTCAGTAGCTCTGATTTGTGAGGATAAAATAAAAAATCATGCGTGTGTATATGCAGACGTATGTCTGCAGTGACTTGATTCATTCATTCATTCCACTCTTGCGAAGCACACACACACGCCTGCCTGCACGTGTAAACTATGGAGACAGACAGTTTGCCAGGTGTTAATAATGTGTACATGCACTGTGTGTGCGAGATTCACACGCACATGCAGGTGTAGTGTATGTGTGGCGTTTGTAACGTGCTGTGCACGCGTACTGATAAGACGTGTGAGCGCGTCATGTGAGTGGAGCGAACAACGCCTGCGCGTCATGGAGCAGGCGTGTGTGTAACACTCCATAGTACTCCTATAGTATATAGTTACTCCCATAGTAACCCTATGTAAAATGTAGGCGTGCACTCACGCGGTTTGATTAGATCTGATGTGTCCTAAGTAGGCGCAAGTGACGCGTTGTAGTGTGGTTGGGTGAAACGTTTGACCCCTCACACACACACACACACACACACACACCTGGTAACATTTACATCTGTAAGCTGTGTCAAGATTGGTCTGATTCACAAGGTGGATGCTCACGCCTCTTACACAACACATGGAGGGAAGACAAAGGGTGGGGTGTGAGGATAAAAACAGATGAGTGGATATAGACTTAGCAGTAGAAATAAGGACTCTGCTTTATAGCTGGTTTTCTTCATGCATTCTTCTCTTTTCAGAACTGTGTGATTCTTTACCTGCATAAAATTCAGGGCCATATACTGCTCCAACCACTGGATTCAGCTTCCAGCCTGCACAGGAGAAACACACACACACACACACACACACACACAGGGTATATGTTAGCACTGCTGCATGAACTTGTATCTTTTCTACAGATTTGCGATACTATTAATTCCTCTCTTTTAAAATAAAAGATATCAGAATATCAGCCTTAACTGCTATATTTGTCCATCCAACAGGGCATCATACATAATGTCTTCAACATGTTGCATCAAAATGCTACATGCACTGCACTGTTTACAGAGCTTTGCAACAAGATCTTAAAAACAAAGATTTAGAGAATAAAAGAAAGTGGGAAATTGAACTGAACATACTAATTAGTGAAAATGAATGGGATGAAACGTGTTTGTCTGGTCATAAATTAACAAATAGCCCAAATTGGAGGGAATTTGACTGGAATATTAAAAACAGATACTTCAGAACTCCAATTATAACAGCAAAATATGGCGTTTCATCAGCACTATGCTGGAGGGGTTGTGACCACCAAGGGGACCTCTCACATATAATGTGGGCCTGTCCAAAATTGCAGGAGTACTGGGACGATGTTAAAAGGATAATAGAGCAAATTTTGGATATAAAAATAAAACTTGACCCAAAGTTATTTATTTTGGGCATCCCTGCAGGACTCCAAATGGGGAAAAAGAAAACATATTTACTGAGGACCCTGCTTTTAATAGCCAAAAAAACTATTACGGTATTATGGTTGCAGCCACAACCCCCCAACATAAAACAATGGCAACAAAAGGTGAATGAGGTATATATTATGGAAAAGATTACAGCTAAAATTCAGCTGAAAACTGACTTTTTTATGGAATTATGGTCACCTTGGATGTCAATGCAGAGCTCAAGATTTTTATTAATTTGATGGCATTTGCCACCAAAACTCTGTTCACTGCCAATAATAGGAATGAAAAGAAGGAAAAGGATGGAAGAGAAAAGAGAAAAAAATATTTATATAATATGTGGTGTTGAACCAATTCGTTTTTGTGTTGCTTCTTTTCTTTTTTTTTTTTTTTCTCTGTTTTTCTTTCTTGCACAACTAAACGAAGTGCTATGCTACTAATTTAAAATTTTATGGCAGTAATGCTATCAGTGTAAAATATTACTTTTGAGCCCTGTAACTAAAGTAAGGTAAGGAGGGGAAGGAAGAGAGGGAAAGAAAAGGAAAAAAGGAAGAGAAGAAGGAAGAAAAAAAAAAGAAATTGTACGAAAAACATAAAATGGTTATATCTTTGTTGCTTGCACACTTACTGTATATTTAGTTGTTGTTGTTGTTTTTTTTTTTCTCTTTTCGCCTTTTGTTTGTGTGTTTGTTTGTTTTTTAGTACTGGGTATTTGATTTATTGTATCGTTGTTGTTTTTTTCTTTACTTAAATTCATACAAAGTTAAAGAGAAATGCGAAATGCTTATTTGTGAAAAGATGAAGGTATGAATTGCACAGCATAAATACAAAGTTAAAAAAAAATGCTACATGCAAAGGCATCTCTTTGAAAAACCAAAACCTTTGCTGCCTAGTAGTTACAGTATATCCAACACTGTCTAATAGAAATACATGAAATCGACCTGACTTCGTAACAACGCATTACATGAAATGTGTTAAAACTATGTAAACTGTATTACGAACAGTCACAGTTTCAAACACATGGTTAATGTAGTTTAAACTGTGAAATGGTTGCAGTGTGGTTAGGTTTATGGAAAGGAAAACACTTGGTTAGGTTTACAGAACAAAAAAAAAAAATGCATGGTACATAATGTACTTTGAGTACATTTGGTTTCACACGGGACACAAACATCAGTGTCCTGGTTGAAAGTCCATGTTTGTTTGACCCACCCTATGTGTACTTTACAATTAAAGAAATATATCACTGCTTGAAATTTTTTTTACCCAACACATTCTCACTTCGACCTTGGCACATATCCATGTTTAGTCATGGACTTTTCACGTCAACATATGACATGCAAGGTACTCTAGGTGTGTTGGTTGTTGACGTTCTGGTAGGCTGTCAACAGCACAGTTTGCATCCAGTCTCTTTCAAAATAAACGCACTACATTGGCACAACATGGTGATTGACATTTTTTTTACTTCAACAACAAATGTACGTGGTTGGGTTTTGCCAACAAAAGTACGTGATTGAGTTTAGGAAGAACGAACAGGGTTTGGTTTTACAATCTTACGGGAACTGAACACCTGCCTCCAGGGTGAAAGTTTAGTGGTTGCTGGACCCATCTAGCACCACTCCCGCCTGCCCTACTTGGATTTCTGCCTGGACTTTCATTGTCGTGTCCTTACCCTCCGAGCAGAGGATGAGATCAAGTGCCATATACAGAGATAGTAAATGGTTGTTATTGCCATGTTATGCCAATGTTATTGTTTATAAAGCGCTGCCAACACATGTTATACGTCACGCTAGAGGCTGACACTGTTGTGATAGAAGCCATGGCCATCACACCTTTTTTGATTCCGCAAATGCAGGCATGCTGTTTAAAATCACACACTGGAGCGGCATGATGTCGCCATTGTTAAGTTTTGTGTAAAACTGCGAAGACGCAGTAAAGAAGGGACTTCGCCATCTCTGTGCAAAAAGGGCTAATGATGAGAGGTGGTCTCCTTAATCTTAAAATATTGTTTCAGTGCATATTCTCCTGTTTGGCGGTATATCTTGTAAAATTAAAAACCAACTGCAGACCCTTGTTCTTCCTCTTCTATTTATCCTACACATTCGTACAAATGTGGTCATAAGAAATACTGATTGATGTTCTCTGTAGTTCTTCTTGTCTTTTTTTATTTAATTGAATTTTTGATGTTTGGCAACAGCTTGCTCAACTGCTGAAGCCAGAACTGAGGAAGATGGTTAGAGAGAGAGAGATGAGCTGGGAGGAAATACGAGTGTGAGTGTGTGTGTGTGTGTGTGTGTGTGTGTGTGTGTGTGTGTGTGTGCTTGGGGCCTGATGACAGTGATGAATGGAAAACCCTTCAGGGCTCATTCTCTCTCTCTCTGCACCCTCAAACAAGATGGAGGTGTGCGTCTGTGTGTGTGTGTGTGTGTGTGTGTGTGTGTGTGTGTGTGTGTGTGTGTGTGTGTGTGTGCGCGCGCGCACATGTGTGTGTAAGAGAGGGGTGCTGACATGTCTGGCCATTTAATTCCTCCCCTTGTTCATCCATCCTCTCTCTCCCTCTTTGCTTCTCTTGCTTTGCACTGTCTCTGCCGTTCACTCCCTCTCTCCCTCCTCCACTCTTTCATTCTATTCACATGAATGATAGTCTGCAAGAGAGATGGAGTAGAGAAACACACCCTAATGGCCCTTCTCTCCAACTTTAGGTGTGACTCCTCACTCTTTTTTATTGGCTCCATACATTTAGAACATCCCCATCCCCTCCTTTTTGATATCCCCCCTCCATCTCCAACCATGCTCTTTTCTCCGCTGCTCTTTTCCTTTTATCCCTACTGAGTAAGAAAATATTTCACTTTGCTATTTGCACAATATTTCAAACCAAATCGACCGCCTCTTCGACAAATATTGATTTTGTTAATCAAATGTGAACAACTCATTTTGTATGAGGGTAGAATCTGCTGCCTGGCTTTTGGTTTCTTTTCCACTCCCAGTCTAAGCTGAGTGGGTAGAATTGGATCAGAATGATTTACTCCTGCTATAAAACCATAAGATCTGTTGCTCTGTAATGTAGCCAGCTCTGATACTGGCAGTGGAATGGAATAATGGGCAATACAAATAGAGAGTGGAGAAAACAGAGGAAACTAAGAGTAGGAGAATAAGACATGAGAGAGGGAAAAATTAAAGGAAAGCAGCAATTAAAAGGTGCACAAAGGAGCTTGCAAGACATGGAAAACAGGCTGAAGTCTTACCGTTTGTATAAGGGTTTGCCAACTTTTTGTTGGTCATTACTCTGGCTGTGGCATTGTTTACCTATCAACAGACAAACAGCAGTTAGTGTGAGAGCAGATACACAAAAACACACATAAACAAGAAAGAACTTTGGATAATCCACCTCACAACCACTCTCCATGCCATGCTTATATTTTATCACTCAAGCAAGTGAGAGTACATGCAACAAGTCACAGGTGTGATGTTGAAATACATTCAGCAACATCAGAGAAAATGAATGAGGGAAAATTCAAACTTTTAAAAATGAAAACACACAGACATTACAGTTTGTAAAACTGTAATGTCTGTGTGTTTTCATGATTTTGATTTAAAATCTAAAAAAATAAAGCTTTTAAAAGCTTTTTGGAGGTGCTTTTGTGTCACAATGTATTTTCTATCCAAATAGTTACAGAAATTGTCCTACATCTATTCCGTTTGCTCTGATGCACACCAACAACAATGTTTCTTCTACCTCCCAACTCGCCTTATGCATTATACTCAAGGTATCAGGTGTCAGTTTCTGCTTGTGACATGTACTGTGTCTTTTTAAAATAAACTTCTGTGTTTACAGGAAATGTAGGTTTCTGCACTAAGATTACTTTAAGTTCAGGCAACAAATCTACTTGGTTAGGTTTGGAAAAAAAGGGGTTAAAATAATTTGTAATAGGGACGCATGATAATATTAACACTTCATCAGTATCGGGCAATATTGGCTTTGAAATTAATTATTAGAATCGGTCAACATGGTTTTGATTATTTTGCTCAATGAATGAATATTCATACATATTATTATGTATTTCATATCTCCATCTGTTATTAGGCCATCGCAGTAAGACTATGCATGCATAATATGATGTTAATTACACTACAGAATAGACTTGATGATCACTAATATAAGGTGGGGAAAAAAACAGATATATCAATAGCAGTATCTGTTATCAGCTAAACACATTGTTATATATCGGCATATCAGATATTGTGCATAAAATTCAATATGGTGCATTCCTGATTTGTAATGTTACTTCAGTTATGAACATATCTTCATTAGTATGCCACATAAGTCACATGACTAACTACATTTTGAAGGGAAAAAAAAAGAAGTAATAAAATAATGTTGACTTTTAGTTTCACAGGGGACACAAACAGCAGTCTCTTGGGTGAAAGTCCTATGTTAGTTAACCGAGTCCAATCTCCAGCCTACACGGACTGTTTAATTCTTTATACTACAATAGTTGCTAGCAAACCAAGTGTCTATTATTGCTGTAGATGGGTTTCAGTGGAGTTCGGTCAAAGCTTGGTGCGTCTCAACAACACTTTCTCATCCCAACTTGTCAAATACCACTGCTTTTGCAGTAGGCCTAAATGTCAAAGATGCACTAGGTTCCCTCCTTCATCAGTTTTCGACTTTCAGGGATGGTGTGTTAATTTACACTTGTTAATTGCATTGTTTGTTGTAAAAATAAACTTCCATTTTCACAGAAAATGTACAGTTTCTACTCAATACATGCATACAATTTAAAAAAAAACAAACTTAAAAAAAAACAAACTTACAATGTAGATAAAACACTTTGTTTTTAGGTTTACTTCCTTAAATTTAGGCAACAAAAGTCCATGGTTAGATTTAGAAAATAACGTCATGGTTCAGCTTAAAATAAGTGCACCTGTTACTAATGTAATGTCACTAGTGTAGCACGCTAGCACACTATGTTTAATAACTCCATTGACTTTTGGGCCTCTAGTTTCCCGGAGCGGCACAAAGTGGCGCAGGGTGGCGAACCCCATGCAGAGCTAGTTTCGAGCAGCGCAACCCAAGGCGCGCTCAGTTTGGTAGTTTGGCAGACCGAGGTGCGCTGAGATGGGTGTGGCGGCGCAGCAGGGGGAGGTGTCAACAGATCCAGCTTGGTGCAGTGACAGTTTCATGCCAAAAGGCTTCGCCAAAGGCACACTAAAAGCTTGCCAGCTGAAACCAGGCGCCTGTCAGCGCAGGCGGAGCGCAGCCGGTGTAAGTGGAAGTTTGGTTGACCGGCGGACAGTGCGCACACGTCACCAAAACCTCACAGACAGGTTTCCAGAATGTCAGGCACATTAACAATGCAATAAATAGCCACAAAAAACACTATTCAATGCAACTATCTGCAATCAGCACATAAATGTATCTCTATATCTACTGTCCTGTCACATCTGATGTCAGATCAAAGGGGATTGGCACCGTTTGGCACGCGTAATGGAAACCCAACCTGATTTGTTTAACACAGCTGCAAACTAATGAGTTCACATCCCTCTCAGCCAACCACAAACAGCCACAGCATCAGACAGGCAGTATATATTCAGCAACTGTCATCTTAGAAAAGTCAAAAGAAAAGAAACAGAGTGAGACTGCGAGAGAGAAAGAGAGAGCGCGCGCGCACGAGAGAAACGCAACATTGATTTACAATTGTGGTGACCTCCTCCCAGGCTACCTTTGCATCATCAGCCCGTGGAGGTCTGCTCGCAGTTCCGTATATTTGGACACTGCGAGCTTGGACCTCCCGAACCAAAGCATCAGTTTCCTCCTGGGAGAAGTTTGGCCGTCTGGCACTGCTGCTCTCTTCTGCCATGGCGAATTGAGTAAACTCTCATTACGCCTTCGCGCGGCGCATTAAGGGCGAGGAGAGGGGCTCATTTGATTGGTGTGATGTGAATCGGCTGTGTAAAACCCACTCCACGCCTTCTCTCCTCCCTCTTTCCGACTTGCGCAGGTAGGAGGGACGGAGGTGGGAAAGAGGAGTAGCTGCGCCAGCGCGCACGGTGTGTAAAATTGCAAAATCCGCCTGGCCACACCCAGTTGGCGAAGCGCAGGTGAGCTGCGCTTCCGCCTCGCCCGGTCTGCGAAACTAGAGGCCTTGGTTTCACACGGGAAACAAAGTGAGCTTACAGGTGAAAGGTCAGAGGTTTTTTTTAACCCACCCACCTCCCATTCCACTGACGTTATGCAGACGTTCTCACTCTTTATACTACAGTTTTTGCCCCCTGTGTCAGAAACAGCCACTGCCCGTCAATCATACTCCTGCAAAGGGTGACTCTGTGTATGGGTATCTGACACTGAGGTTCACTGAAAAAGCGGCAGTATTTGATGTGTTGGGAATAAGAACGGGCTGGTCTCGTACAGAGGCTAAAGAGTGCCAGTGACCAAGCTGATGTATTTGACGCCCTGGAAATGAGAACAGGCTGCTGTCACCGCTGGTAATTCTCTCACTGTTCAGCATAGTACTGCACGTGACTCTCCTGCTTTCTCAGTGAGTCTGATTTAGGCAATTTGCAAGTGAAAAGATGTATGGGGTGAAATTTTGTGTTGCCATATGTATTCCATGTACAGCCACTGTTACCTTGTTTTGAATGCTATGTCTCCTGCTGCTGACTTATTAAGATGGCAAATGAGCTGATTAATAAGCGGTACACGTAAATCTTGGGTCACACTTTATTTTACAGGTGTATTATTTGCTAATAATTTCTCAACAGGGGCTTACAGCTCATTTTTACCTGACCTCCTGGCAAGCTGTATTGCATGCAGTTCGGTCTCCTAAAAATCACATTTATATACCACACATTTGGCAACAGCAAATATGTTTGGGGGAAATGTAATGCCATCCAGATTATATTTGCTTTTAACATAACGAGTCATTTGCCAAGTCATTAAAATGTCCTTATGTCAGTATTTCATTTGTTTTCCAACAGTATTTGCTCTTGCAGGACAAGATCTGCTCACTGGGACAAAAGCATCACTACATTTTTTATCGTCCTTTTTAGGCACTCAAAGCCTTTGGTTAAGGTTAAGAAAGATGATGGGAAATTTCAAAAGTGACTTGAGGAATGAAGCATGTTTTACTTTATCATGTATCCAAAACCACAACCTCTCCTTAATTAAAACTAAAGTGCTTTTGCTGTCTAATCCAACCACATGCAGAACCGCTGCTCTCTGGTGTCAAAGTCTTGTTTTTTGTTCAGCCACGATCCACCAACTCTTCACCCAAAAAAACCCAAAAACAAACAAAAGAAGAAAAAAAAACTTTACTGGGGAGCATTATGCAGTCCCTCCGGGATTTCATGGGCTGTTTTAGTGATTGTTGCGGCCTGAAATACCTGATTCAGCTTTTCTATAAAATTGTGGTGCATGTTGCCATGTTTATAGACATTTTTTGAAATAAAATTGTGGGGTCAAATGACAATGGACAAAATAATTGTGATATTGTCCCAGATTGTGTGCTTATTATAATTATGAGTATTCAGGGTTTCCTACAGAATTAGAATCTGTGTTTGTTGGGTTGGTATTGGTGGCACCTGTTGCCATAACAAGGATCAAAGACAACAAGGACCTTTTTCGTGAGATGCTCTCCTCTTGCTCTTTCTGTCTGGTTAGCATGAGCTAACACAGCACAATGTGATTTCATCCCTACTCTTCATATTTTGCTACTTTGGCAGAAACCCCGCAGCAGTGGTTATCATCTAACACAGTGTCGTAACATCTATACCAAAACTGATTATACAGGCAGTGTTTTTGTTTCCTAAAAACTTTAACAGGAAAACATAGAATTATTAATTAGTATTAGTTTTAGTATTAGTATTAGTAGGGATGCATGATATTGGATTTTTTTTTTCAATATCCGATATGCCAATATATAACATGTCATTTGGATGATAACCAATACAGATATCAATGTATCCACTTTTTTTCCCCATCAAACTTTAGTGATCATCAAGTCTCTTCTGTAGTGGAATCATATTATCATATCCTATCATATTAAACATACATACTCTTATCGTGATGGCCCACCAGCAGATGGAGACATGATGTACAATTCTTCTCAATGTATGTAATATTCATTCATTGGCAAAATAAGAAAAAGCATGTTGGCTGATTCTGATAGTTCATTTTAAAACCAATATTGGCTGATACTGATGACATGTTGATAATATTGTGCATCACCTAAGTAAGTAGCAGTAGCAGCAGTAGTAGTAGTAGAGACAGGGTTGCTGCATGTGAGATTACTGAATGTGAATAGTTGTTAAGGTAAAATACAAGTCTTGTGACGCAGTCAAAAATATCAACATGTGAAACAGCCTCAAGATTTCTCTGTTAGATGAACCCTGGTGAGTTAAAAAGAAAACTGGGGACAGGAAAAGAGTAAGCAGACAGATGGAAAGATGGGTGAGATTTGACTCCACGCAAGAGGATGGTCACATCAAAATGGAACACCAACTGCTATGTTTTGAGGGCAACAAGTCTGAACAATGTGTAAGACACACTGGCATTTGATCGTCACTTGGAAGGAGTTCATTTTTACCAGGGGAGTTTTTACCTCACATCAAAACCACTGTCATCTCATGCACACACCACAGATACAAACACACATGACACACTCCATCATGAGCAAAGTGGAATCTACCATTTGTGTCAAAAAACACTGCCACGCAATTACACACCACTGAGTAAGTCTGTCATTCTCTTTGTCACACACACTTACGGATCAGGGTTCGGCATGCAGCGTTCAAGGTGCAGCAGGCAGGTGGGAGAGAGGGAATGGACGGAGTAAGAGAGGGGAGGGAGTATTGCAGGAAACATCAGGCAGGCAGAGAAAGGACAGAGAGAGTCAGGGAAAAAGTAAAAAGGGGGGGGGGAGCAAGAGGTAAGAAGACACAAGAAAAGGAAGGCACCTCTATTTTGCGTCCCTCTACGATTGTACCATTTAGTTTCTCTCGTGCACGGTCAGCATCTGCACTCGTTTCAAATGTTACAAACCCAAAGCCCTGCAGTGGCCAGGAGGTGGGGTTGAAAATCAAGCGACAAAAGGAGGGAAGTCCCGAAATTAAATTATGAAACAAACGGGGAAAAGAAGAGAAGAAGAAAAAGACACAAAGCACAGATGAGAGAGCTGCAGGTCAGGAGGAGGTCTACATCCAGAAGCAGAAGCCAGAGACATGTCAGGCTGATTAGACAAACATGGGAAACAGAGCAGGACTTACAGTAAGTAAAGTTGGAAACACAGGACATCAAACCACAGACGGGAGCCCTGATTATACTTTAATTACCATCTCATCATTGTGGTGTGTGTGCGTGTGTGTGTGCTTCTATTCTCTGTTCCTATTACCATCCTGGACTCTGCTGCACATGCATTTACAGAAACAACTGGCCCTAATTGAATTAGCAGATTGAATGAAAGCCTCCACACACAGAATGGAGTTTGGGATGTGTGTGTGTGTGTGTGTGTGTGTGTGTGTGTGTGTGTGTGTGTGTGTGTGTGTGTATGTTTGCTGTAGGATACAGTTGCTCTGCTGGTTTGCAGAGGCCCTGTGGGAGAGCAGATAAGTGCCATACAATTACAATCTCCATGGCATCAGTCATCCGTGACTTTCTGAGCCCCAGGACGCAGCTCGCTCATGAGACCTTGTCTTTGTGTTAGGCTGGGCCTGGAGATGCAGCTCACTCAAACAGCCCATATGCGCTAAAACATGCCTCCAAACCCTAAACTGCAAAGCCTCATCTATCTATGTCAATGAGCTTAAAGCAGGCAGAGAGTGAGGGCTGAAGAATCATCTCTGCTCTCACTGATTACTGCCTGTGTGAAGGGCTCTGTGTTAAAAACCTGAACAATGTTATTAAACTTACTGTGGTGTAAATAAGGAATTCTAACTTTATAAACTTGCGAAGAGATACGACAGAACCATGGACACCTGTTTAATCACATTTAGTCCAATTTACACGAGATTTCCCTGGCTTACTGTACTTGTAGAGCCTACTAACATCAGTCCTTCAAACCAAACATTTCTGTTGTTGAAACGTGTGTTTTATTTTTGTTGCTCCAATCAGTTCTATCAGTTTCTATGACTATGTACTTATCAGGTTAATTGCTAAGATGTCAGAACACAGCAACATCAATAGAAATAGATCCAAGGGGTCAAGAAACACAAGGAATTACATAATCACCTTTAAGGTTTGCTTTGGTTTAGGGTAACCCAACTGCTAGAAAAAAATGTTTGTATTGTAGGGGTGGCTGTAGCTCAGATGTAGAGTGAATCGTTCACTGGGGGTGTTTTAGTTCTGACGTCTGGAATTGAAAGTGATAACCTAACAGTCTTTCCACAGAATCCCTCTCTATCAGATCATTATTTAATAACTTTTGATTTCTTTTTACTCGATTACACGCAACTCAGCAACAGTTACTATACTGGATGTTTATCAGATAGTGCTGTTGCAAAATTTAAGGCAAAGATTCCATCGACGTTGAATTTCTAGTTTTCCCGTACTTTAACCTCTCCCAAATTGATCATCTTGTCGATAGCGCTGCAGGCTCGCTGCGAACAACACTCGACTCTGTAGCACCTCTTAAAAAGAAGTTAACAAAGCAAAGAAAGTTTGCTCCTTGGTACAACTCTCAAACAGAAAAAATTAAAACAAATATCACTAAAATTTGAAAGGAATAGGCGATTAACCAAACTGGAAGAATCTCATTTAGTCTGGGAATAAAGTCTCAAAACGAATAAGAGGGGCCTCCGCAATGCCAAAGCAAACTATTACTCAGCATTAATAGAAGAAAATAAGAACAACCCCAGGTTTCTTTTCAGCACTGTAGCCAGGCTGACTGAGAGTCACAGCTTTATTGAGCCTTGTATTCCTTTAGCCCTTAGCAGTAATGATTTTATGAGCTTTTTTAATGACAAAATTCTAAATAATAGAGACAAAATTCATGACCTCCTGACCTAAAAAAGAAACAATCTAACATCAAACACAGCTGTAAGACCTAATATATATTTAGTTAGCTTCTACACGGTTTCTCTACAACAATTAACCGCAATGATTTCTTCATCTAAATCATCAACGTGTCTCTTAGACCCCATCCCAACTAGGCTATTTAAGGAAGTCTTACCTTTAGATAACACTCACATATTAGACATGTCCTTTAAGGTAGCTGTAATTAAACCTCTTCTAAAAAAGCCCACCCTGGATCCAGAGGTGTTAGCCAACTATAGACCAATATCTAATCTTCCCTTTCTTTCAAAGATCCTTGATAATAATTTATTTGAGGAATTTCAGTCAGGATTTAGAGTGCATCATAGCACTGAGACAGCACTAGTTAAAATTACAAATGATCTTCTGATTGTTTCAGACAAAGAACTCGTCTCTGTACTTGTTTTATTAGATCTTAGTGCGGCATTTGACACAATTGACCATCAAATTCTGCTACAGAGACTGGAACATTTAATTGGCCTAAAAGGTTATGCACTAAGCTGGTTTAAATCTAATTTATCTGATCGTTTTCAGTTAAATAAAATTAAAGATGAATCATCAATAAGTACTAAAGTTTGTTTTGGAGTTCCACAAGGTTCTGTGCTCGGACCAATCCTATTCACTCTATATATGCTTCCCTTAGGTAGCTTAGGTAACATCATTAGAAATCACTCTGTAAATTTCCATTGTTATGTAGATGATACACAATTGTATTTATCTGTAAAGCCAGAAAAAAATGATAAATTAACTAAACTTCAAAAATGCCTTAAAGACATAAAAACCTGGATGAGCACCAATTTCCTTATGTTAAATTCAGACAAAACTGAAGTTATTATTCTTGGCCCCAAACAACCCAATCCAAACAGATTCTTTATCTGATGATATAGTTTCTCTGGATGGCATTGCTCTGGCCTCTAGCACTACTGTAAGAAACCTCGGAGTAACATTTGATCAAGATTTGTCTTTTAATTCCCATTTAAAACAAACCTCACGGACTGCGTTTTTTTCATCTGTGTAATATTGCGAACATTAGTCCTGTCCTGACCCGAAAAGATGCAGAAAAATTGGTCCACGCTTTTGTTACCTCTGGGCTGGATTACTGTAATTCCCTATTATCAGGTAGCTCTAATAAGTCTTTAAAAACTCTATAGCTAATTCAGAACGCAGCGGCACGTGTACTAACAGGAACTAAGAAACAAGATCATATTTCTCCTGTTTTAGCTTCTCTGCACTGGCTCCCTGTAAAATCCAGAATTTAATTAAAAATCCTACTCTTAACTTACAAAGCTTTAAATGGTCAGGCTCCATCATATCTTAGAGAGCTCATAGTGCCATATTATCCCACCAGAACACTGCACTCTGAGAACGCAGGGTTACTCGTGGTCCCTAAAGTCACCAAAAGTAGATCAGGCCTTCAGCTATCAGGCTCCTCTCCTGTGGAATCATCTTCCTATTGTGGTCCAGGAGGCAGACACCATCTCCACAAAGACTAGACTCAACACTTTCCTTTTTGATAAAGCTTATAGTTAGGGCTGGCTCAGGCTAGTGGCTAGTTAGGCTGACTTAGGCCTAGTCTGCCGGGGGACCTCCTTTAATACACAGAGCACCTTCTCTCCTTCTCTCTCTCTCTCTCTCTCCTTTGCTAACACTAATGTCCTGTTACTGCATCTCGCTAACTCGGCTGTACTGAATGTCACTAAGTCGGCTTCTTCTCCGGAGCCTTTGTGCTCCACTGTCTCGCAGATTAACTTATATCGCAGCTGTGCCTGGATAGTGTGACGTGTGTGGTTGTGCTGCTGCCGTGGTCCTGCCTGATGCCTCCTGCTGCTGTTATCATTAGTCATACTTCTACTGTTATTATATGCATATGATTATTGGCACATATGTATACTATCGTATATTAATATATACTTTCAACATATTGTACCACAATAGCCGTAATTAGAATTATAATAATATTACTTTAATTAATGTTGTTGTAAGCTAATGTCATTACTGTCTGTCCTGCATCTCTCTCCGTCTCTGTCTCTCCTTCTGTCTCACTGTGTCATAGGGATTACTGTTAATTTACCATGTTGATCTGTTCTGTACGACATCTATTGCACGTCTGTCCGTCCTGGAAGAGGGATCCCTCCTCAGTTGCTCTTCTTGACGTTTCTACCATTTTTTTTCCCCGTTATAGTGTTTTTTTGGGGAGTTTTTCCTTATCCGCTGCGAGGGTCCTAAGGACAGAGGGATGTTGTATGTTGTAAAGCCCTCTGAGGCAAATTGTGATTTGTGATACTGGGCTTTATAAATAAAACTGATTGACTGATATATCGATTTAATGATCAATGATCCAATCACATCGATGCAAAGTGAAAAAATTAATCCATATTTTCATCTTTAGGATACGCTTTTTTTTTGAAAGTCTGTGTCACTGTCAAACAGCAGTTGGCAGATGGCAAGCAGCCAAGAGAAAGATAATGAGGATATTGTTATTTACTTGGGAATAAGTTAATAATTGGCAAACTTTCTGGGGAAAACCTGGTCTTATTAGGAGAGACGGCATTCACCCCACTTTGGATGGAGCTGCTCTCATTTCTAGGAACCTGGCAAATTTTATTAGTAATTTAAATCCCTGACAACCCAGAGTTGAGACCAGGACAGAGAGTTGCAGTCCTAAACGCCTCTCTGAGCTTCTAGTTCAGTTACCCAGCCATAGTTTTCATAGTTTTATACAAACGGTGTCTGTCCCCCGACCACCTAAATTATTTAAATCTAAAATTAAACAAAGAGGAGTTGTGCATAACAACCTCATAAAAATTAAAACCTCTTCTGTGACAGAAAGACAAAACAGGAGAATTAAATGCGGACTGTTAAATATCAGGTCTCTATCGTCTAAAGCAGTGTTAGTAAACGAA